CTCCCTTCTCCTTTTGTAGCAAAGCAGCAAGACCCTTTGTACCAGTTAGAGGGTTATGACTGGATCTGGGTTTCCCTTAAAGAAACCCATCTTTGTAGCTCAGAGACAAGAGGAAGGAAATATCATATTGCTGTGGGACATGACCCCTTTAACACGAGCCTTCTGTGTTAAGATCCTGCATCGAAGGGAATAGGAGATAATTTATTTCTCCACACTCCCTAAAATCAGAGCGTATACGAAAAAAGTCAGGAGATGTAGGGAGTGGGCTGGAAAACTCAGACTGGGAATGGGATCTGAAGCCTTTTGCCCCTAAACTGCCATTCAAATACAGCCCCCACTTGATAACTTCCAAACACTGTTCTTGGTTAATCTCTGTGCAGTATAAAGTGAGTTCAATTCTTTGTCCAGGTCTCTGCATCTGAATTGGCACTAACTGCTCAGCACTTCTGAGAATCAGGCCACTACTGTAAGGAACCTAAATATGGATTTGGGTGCCTAATGCTCAAGTCTGAGGCTATGTCTACACTCGCGGCTTCTTGCGCAAGGGTTCTTGTGCAAGAAAACATCCACACTGCCATGTGCGCGCTGTGCTTTTGTGCAAGAGCTCCCATGGCAGTGTGGGAGAAGTCTTGCGCAAGAAAGCCCATTTTAGCCATAAGGCTTTCTTGTGCAAGAAATCCCTGCCGAGCATCCACACTGCCCTCTTGCACAAGAGCTCCTGCACAAGAGGGCTTTCACCTGTTAAAAAAAGAGCGTAGCTTTTGCGCAAGAAGCCCTCTCTTACCAGGCCATACTGTAAATTTCCTTGCGCAAGAGCGGGCGGGCAGCATAGATGCTCTGCGGATTCTTGCACAACGGCCATACTTGTGCAAGAAGCCACAAGTGTAGACATAGCCTTAATGTTTTGGCCATCTTCTACTATATATATTTTAGAGCATTGGTCTGTGTGTCTGTCTTTTAGTCTGTTTGTTGAAGAACTCCTCCTACATGTTAAGAGCGAAGACCACAACATTTGGTAGGCAGCCTCCTCTAACCATAACTTAAAGCAAGGTCAGGGTTTGGCTGTGCCAGAACAAAGGGAATCCAATTGTTTCTCATCACATGTAAAGAGAGGAGTCTGATAGCAAGGACAGTTATACTTCAGAATAACTGGAGCGATGTCAAGGAAGGGTATAGACTGTTCAGGAAGAACAGGCAGGGGAGAAAAGGAGGAGTAGCACTATGTGTAAGAGAGCACTATGATTGCTCAGAACTCCAGTATAAAGAGGGAGAAAAACCTGTTGAGAGCCTGTCGGTTAAGTTTAGAGGTGCAAACAACAGCAGTGATGTTGTGGTTGGTGTCTACTACAGGCCACCGAATCAGGTGGATGAGGTAGATGAGGCTTTCTTCGGACAACTGAGAGAAGCTTCCAGATTGCAGGCCCTGGTTCTCATGGGGGACTTTAATCATCTTGACAGCTGTTGAGAGTGGTGCTCCCCCCCATATGTAATTCAAAATAAAAACAATACTATACCGTAAAATAAAATTTTATTTTTTGAAATGACACAACTTACATGTATGCTGAAATTAAAATAGCTTCTTTCTAGAGTTTCTGATTGCAAAATTCTGGATAAGTTCATCGAAGCTGACTCGACGAAGCATGTCCGCTTCCATACACACTAGGGAAAGTGAATAAAGTCTGTCCTGACACATAGTTGTTCTCTGAGGGCTTTTTATTCTTTTCAGCCGAGAAAAAGAGCGTTTTGTGCAGTTCTGATTTTTCCCATGGTGACTAATTTGATGTTTAAAGAAGCTTTATTGAAGGCGCAGAAACAAACCATGCAGATGTACAGTAAGAAAAGCAAATATGGTAGGCAACCTGCTTGTCTTAACAGTAAAATCTTTGGCAAGATTAAACTCAAAAAGGAAGCTTATGAGAAGTGTAAACTTGGACAGATGACTAGGGAAGAGTATAGATATATTGCTTGAGCAGGGTGTAATCAGAAAGGTCAAAGCACAATTGGAATTGCAGCTAGCCAAGGAAGTGAAAGGTAACGAGAAAGGTTTCTACAGGCATGTTAGCAATAAGTGGGTCATCAAGGAATGTGGAACCTTTACTGAATGAAGGAGGTAACGTAATGACAGATGATATGGGAAAAGCTGAAATACTCAATGCCTTTTTTTGGCTCTGTCTTCACAGACAAGGTCAGCTCCCAGACTGCTGCACTAGGCAGCACAGTATGGGAAGGAGGTGAGCAGCCCTCAGTGGAGAAAGAACAGGTTAAGAACTATTTAGAAAAGCTAAACATACACAAATCCATGGGGCCAGATCTAATACATCTGAGGGTGCTGAGGGAGTTGGCTGATGTGATTGCAGAGCCACTGGCCATTATCTTTTAAAATTTGTGGTAATTGGTGGTAATTGGGGGAGGTCCTGGACTATTGGACAAAGACAAATGTGGTGCCCATCTTTAAAAAGGGAAGAAGGAGAATCTGGGGAACTTTGCGGTCAGCCTCATCTTAGTCCCTGGAAAAATCATAGAAGGAATCCTCATGGAATCCATTTTAAAACACTTGGAAAATGGGAAGTGATCAGGAATAGTCAAGATGGATTCACCAACAGCAAGTCATGCCTGACAGACCCTGGAAAAATCATGGAAGGGATCCTTAAGGAATCTATTTTGAGGCACTTGGAAGAGAGGAAAGTGATCAGGAATAGTCAGCATGGATTCACAAAGGGCAAGTCGTGCCTGACCAATCTGATTAGCTGCTATGATGAGGTAACTGGGTCTGTGGACATGCTAAAGTCAAGGTACCGGTATATCACATCCACTGACTTTCCCAAGGCTTTTGATACGGTTTCTGACAATATTCTTGCCAGCAAGTTAAGGGAATGTGGATGGGATAAATGGACGGTAAGATGGATAGAAAGATGGCTAGAAGGCTGGGTCCAGCAGGTAGTGATCAATGGCTCGATGTCAGGGTGGCAGTCAGTTTCTAGCGGAGTGTCCCAAGGTTCAGTTCTAGGACTGGTTTTGTTCAATATCTTTATTAATGACCTGGATGAGGGGATGGATTGCACCCTCAGCAAGTTTGCAAATGACACTAAGCTAGGGGGAGAGGTAGATATGCTTGAGGGCAGAGATAGGGTCCATAGTGACTTAGACAAATTGGAGGATTGGGCCACAAGATATCTGATGAAGTTCAACAAGGACAAGTGCAGAGTCCTGCTCTTGGGACGGAAGAATCCCAGGCATTGTTACAGGCTGGGGACCAACCAGCTAAGTAGTAGTTCTGCAGAAAAGGACTTGGGGGTTACAGTGGATGAGAGGCTGGATATGATGCAACAGTGTGCCCTTGTAGCCAAGAAGGCTAATGGCATAC